GTAAGTAAATTGAGTACACAGCGCTCTGTGTGGGAGCAATGTGTAGCCTGCATAATTAAATTGCAAACTGCCCAGAGAGTGCTTTAAGCACTATCTGGCGGTATGTAGGCAGCATACTTTACTTGTCCATAAAATATAATCTCAGTTAACAGGAGTAAAAATAAATAAATAAATAAAAATCACAATCACTTTCTGACTTTGGTGAAGAGGACATCTTCCCAGGTTTTTCAATGACACAAACTCAACATAAGCAAAGTATCTATTTCCAATTCTTTCCAGCTTATAAGATGTAATCAATATGTCATGAATATTCAGGGTCACCTTTACTTGACGGTGTTTTAACAGAGTCAGGGATGCTGGAAAACACTGGAAGCCATCCAGGGCTGGTGCAGGCCATGTATAAAGCAGGATCCTCAATGGGTGCAATAAGCAGCAGTTAAGCTGCTAACTGAGGGACGTGGTGGCGCTGTGGGTTAAACTGCAGAAGCCTCTGTGCTGCAGGGTCAGAAGACCAGCAGTCGTAAGATCAAATCCACGCGATGGAGTGAGCTCCCGTCGCTTTGTCGCAGCTCCTCGCCAACCTAGCATTTCGAAAGCATGCAAATGCAAGTAGATAAATAGGTACCATTGTGACAACGGAAAACTGTGTTTGGACAGGCGCTGGCTCTATGGCTTGAAAAGCAGGATGAGCGCCGCCCCCTAAAATCGGACAAGACTGGACTGAAAATGTCAAGGGGAACCTTTACCTTTACCTTAGGCTGCTAACTAGCTCACCATGTTGTGATCTTAAGACTCTGATACTGGAAGACCAAAAACTGGCTGTTAGTTGCTAACTGGGCCCAGTTCAAGGTGTGGATTTTAACAGCTTGCAGTCTGGCTATCTAAGGGACCATCACTCTTGTTATCAACCTGTCTGGATGCTAAGATATTCAGGAAAGACCCTTTTAAAAATACTAGGGGTTTCAGAGGCCTGACTAGCAGGAAAAGATGTTCTCCTTTGTGGTTCCTGGGGTATAGAATGTGCTCCTTTTCCAAGCTGCAATCTCTTTCCACTCTGACTGATTTTAAGGAGGACATCAATACATATATTTTAAAACTGGCATTTGGTGTTTCATGTGCCCTGCTGTGCTGTTTTTAACGACACACTTCGTTCATTTTAAATGAGGTCTTGTTTTTACTTGTTTTTATCAGTGTGTAGTTAATACTGGGTTTTATTCTTTTGTGAAACGTGTAAGCCGCTTTGAGCACAACTTTGTAATGGGACGACTAGGTATAAATGTAATAATAAAGAATAGCAGGATGCACCGGTTTAAAAAAAATCTGTGGTGAATCTGCAGGGCGTTTTGCTCTCCAGCTCCTCTTTAAAAGTAAGACGTTGGAGTGACTTGCCTCTTTCCTCAAAACTAGGCCGCAGGGATGAGAAAGTTTACAGTAACCAGGGGAATGGACTTCTGTATGAACAGTCTGTGAGCTGAAGTCTTTAATTCCACATTTGTTTGTTTGTTTTATAACCATTGGTTTAATTAAAAACAAACAAAGTCTGAAATCTGCCCAACTTGCCTAGGAGTGATAGAAAATTTCTCCTTTGTGGCCATTATTCCTAACTTGCCTGCTAGCGGGGAGGAGAAACAGACTAATAATTTCTTTTCTTCCTCAGTTTCCCGGTTTCATTCCCTGTAGAATATTCCCCTCTAGAAATAATTTCTGATGCAAGAGATGTCTTAATTCATAATTAGATTGTGTATCTATTTTTACCCACCACCCCCATGGTAAAAATGGAAAGGCAATAAAGAGAGAGAAAAGAACTTAGACTCAATATGGCACATAGGATCCTTCTCTTCCCCACATTTTATTTCTTACAGTTTTAGCAAGAATATGGTGTAAGGCGGGACACATGCAACTAGCCAGAAGAGGGCCATAGAAAAATATATTTAAGTTGTTTTTGCAAACAATCATACATTGGGAAAATCCTTTCACCATGGGGGGCGATGGTATTTAAGGTCTCATCATAAATTGAGGTAGATGTTGACTGTTGGTTAACTGTTTCACCAAATCAGCTGGGGAAGAGGAGGGGAGACTAGCATCGTGTTCTATTTTAGACCAAAAAAAAATTTAAAGATTATTTCAGGGTGGGGAAGGCAGGTCGCATCTTGCAAGCGCAATGTAAAATATTACTCTTGAAGGGAGAGAGAGGCCCAATATAACACGATGCTGGCCCCAATCCAACAGAACAAACATAGAGCAGCCATAGCTATATATACACCTAATGTGATAAAGGAAGTTACCAAGCTACATATATGCCATCCTACCAAAACACAGTCTGCTAGGGAATTATAACTGCAGCACTTCCTTCTGCACAGAATTCTACCTCCAACTAGCTAGAATTCTGTCTGCTTCTTCCTAACTATGAGCCCCTACTATGCATGGGTTAAAGAAAGTTATCTTCCTCTTTAAAAACAGTTATGTGTGCTTAGGGTATGCTAAGTCCAGGAAGAAGTCTTGATTTTGACTTCTTGCCCAGAATAGGTTATTTCCTTATTTATATCAGAGCATTGAAATTATGAACATATATGAAATATATATATCAAGATCTACAAGAAATTAGTACTGTATGTTAGTAATCATTGAAAGAGCCTCATGGTGCAGTGGTTAAACTGCTTTACTGCAATAAAGACTCTGCTCATGATATGATTTGATCCCAGCTGATTCAATTAACCCGTTCAAGGTTGACTGAGCCTTCCATCCCTCCAAGGTCAGTAAAATGAGTACCCAGCTATGTGTAGCCTGCGTAATTAAATTGTAAACCACCCAAAGAGTGCTTTAAGCACTATGGGATGGTATATAAACAGAACGGTTTGCTTTATTGTTATTGGTGGTCTTAAGAAGGATCATTGGATCATTTTGTTCATCAGCAAGTTTGCAGTGCAACACTTCAGGAAGTGAAGGATTGATTGACTGTAGGCTGTTGCCCAGGGACTTGTGATGTTTTACAGTCCTCAGGGAGACTCCTGTCCCCTACCTGCATAGGTTGAAGAGTGTAGAAGCAATGAACGATGTTAACATCTATTAAGGTTGCAGTCCCAAGAGCACTTAGCAAGAAATAAATCCTGTTAGATTTAGTGCAAATAAGCTTGCTTAGGAGCGGGTTGTCAATATTCAAAGCCTCCCACCACCACCCCAATATCATTCTGAAACACTATTAAGCCAAATGTGGATAATAGTACACAAAAAACATTACTAGCTTTCCTCACAACTATTTTGTTTAGCTTTTCCCTAGACGTTATGGTAGTTTTCTACTTCTTAGATACTCTGTACTTAAAAACAGAAGATTATTGTCATGTAGGGGTGGCTTCCAGATGAAGGGCATAATTGCCCTGTCTCATTCATGGAATTGTACAAGGAATCCAGATTATATCATCTTCTGTATCTAACCCTCCTGTGTTTCTCCACTGCTGTTTCCGCTGTTTAATTATTTCCCTGCTATCTCTCTCCTTCTCCCTCCCTCCCCCTCTCTCACACAACAAAAGACCTGTTAAAGGAGAAATGACAGGATGGCTGTATGTGCAATGTTTTTTTACTGGTAGGAGTAGGAGCTACACACTTAGAAGCACCTTAGTTTTCCATTGGGTGTTCCAAACTCTCATCTGCAGGAAAAATTGTTACGTGTGGTTTTTGTTGTACTTAACACTATTAGCCTGATCTCTTTAAATGTTTTGCTGTTTTTACGACATAACATTGTGCCTGGAAGCCTTCTGGAGCTTATCTGAGTAGGTGGGATATAAATCTTGTAATATGATAAAATAATTATATGCTTGTTCTAATCAACACAGTTCTATAAACTACCAACCAGTCGAGCCATCTCTGGAAAAGCATTGTTGGAAATGTTTTGATCCATTGTGTTCACAGCATTCTCTCTCACACACACACCCTGAATAAGAAGAGTGAGTTGGGTCCTGCTGGCTTCTCTGGCTGCACAGGGAGTGGCTAGAGTCACCCCTGGACTGTAGGGCCTGTTATCCTGATGGTGGTTTTGTCAAAGAACAGATGAGACTCAGTATGAAGTGGCACAAAGGCAACTCAGGAATGGCTCCGATCCAAACATTCAGTCCATGTTCTCCATACCACCAAACTAATCCAGCCACTGGATTCCAAATCCCCACCATCACCACCGCCATTGGCTATTACACCATTGGCTATTACAAAACATTGAAACCTTTACAAAAAAAAATATTAGCTACCTGCCAATATTGACAGAATTAAAACACACACTTTTGCTTCACAAAATTGATTCTGGTATGCCTTAAAAGTAGAGCAAGTCTGGAACTCCAGGTTGTTTACAACCAAGAATGTACCAGTAAGAGTCCTCTGGATATTTCCAACCTCCTCTACAATTAACTATGCTGATCGTATGGCTGAGGGGGAAATTCTATTTCAACCATGTCTAGATGACCACCTCTCATTTTAACAGTAGTTTAACCCAGAAGTGTTTAACTGTAGTTCAAGGAGAGGAACCGTAGGGTCCCTTATGGAGAATTTCTCAGTCCACACCTTGTTTAAATGCAGTTGCTAGGGTTCCTCAGAAGCAGAACTAAAACTGGTATAAAACCAACGTAGGCACTCTGTGTGGATCTGTTCACAGTTACAACTGCTGTAAAGTATTAGGCGAGCATTATGTCTTTTCTGGTCCATCACACTCTCATTCCGTTATTGTCCCTTTTGTCTTCTTCAGGCCCTGAAACCATCCAACCATGCCACCATCCAGAGCATCGTGAGAGCTGTGGGCGTGGTCTCTGGAATCCCGGAGCCTTGCTGTGTGCCAGACAAAATGACATCGCTCAGCATCTTGTTCTTTGACGAAAACAAGAACGTGGTCCTCAAGGTCTACCCAAACATGACAGTGGAATCCTGCGCCTGTAGATAACACTGCCCCCCTCTTAAGGAGCCTTATCCAAACCTCCCCCTTCCTGCACTGACCTCTATGCTTAACACTTCCTTCCCTGCCCTGTTTTGCACTGCCGATGCATTTCATTCTCCAGAGATTTATGAATAAGTCTGAATGAGCAGGAGCTGAGAAGGAACACAACACAGATTTCTAGAACACAGAAGGAACTGGCTGTAATTTTTCTCCTGAGAGGATAGGATAAAGAATGATAAAGCTCTCTGGACCGGTAACAAGTTCTTTGTGGCAAGCTACATATAGGGGGAATAACAATGAAATCTGGGAATAACTTGTCAAGGTATTTTGAAAACAGGCAAGAAAAGTCTATAGGGTCTGAAAAAAGTTCACCGAAACTACTACCGTTTTTCAAGTCCATTCTTCTAGAAACCAATGGCGAAGGAGATTTTAAACATACACTGTGTATTTTAAGTTAAGTTTTCTTTCTGCTTAAGGTTGCTGGAGAACTCCCCAAAGTACTAAATAACCTGATACGTTCTGACATTTTAAAAGCCTTTTAAAAAAAAACAAATCCATATTTAAGATGCTTGTTTTCTTGGCATGACATGTCAGTATAGTTCGGTACTATACATATATGCATAAGCAAGGGCTTTTCCCCATAAAATAATGGAAACCTCTCTCTTTTTTTGTTGTTGAATGGGACACATAGACAGAGCATATGTTCTGTGTACATGTCACCTACATAAAAAAGGACTTTTCCATAAAGTAACAGTAGCTTTTAACTTGCAAGTAATAATATACTGCCTTTTGCATATCTACTAAGACTCAAACCATGTTACACAAATCCTGACAATAAATCTCAGAATTCTTACCACCTGCCCCAATAGAGATTGCTATAAAAATTTGGAAACCTAGAGGAATGGAGAGCAAATTCTGGTCGCTAGGGCGTATGCTAGAGCCAAGCACTGTAGTAATCCTTTTTTCAATGAGTGGTTGTTTGTACAGCAGGACACAACTTAACTCTGTGATCCTATATGTGTCTGCTTAGAAGTCACTCCCACTCATTTTAGTAGGGCTTACTTACAGATAATTGAATATAGAATTTCAGCTTTCGCTGCCTATCCCTGTGGTGGTCTTTTAACTAGTGAAATCACTGATAAGGAAGAGAGTGCCTGAAATCCTGTTGCACAGTTAAGCAGAAGGCATCACTTTCTGAGACAGGTTTCTGCAACTTAAGAAATCTCTGTAGACACAACCTGTTGCATGTGAAGGCTTGCAACTTGGTTCACAACAGATGTCTGCCAAGTTTTCGTAACTTACGGCAATTCGATTCAAAAGTTTACACTATTTGTATAACTTCAAGACAGGATTCCAGCCACAGGATCATTGGTTATAGGACTTTTTCCCCAGATGAAAATCTTGCCCAATTTGAATATTATAGCTAAGCAGTTGGAATGACTTGGCTAGATGGTCAGAGGCTGAGGGTCATGTGGTCTTGCACTGGATGACAATTTCCAGTTGGAAATGGAGAGGGCAGCTCCACCGGTCAGAGGGGGTTGATGCTGAATGCACTGCGTCCGCATGTGTTGGAGCAACTAGAAAGCAGGAGGGTTTTGACCACAGTAGCTGGACAAACCAGGGTTTGTAACGGGCTGTGACTTATAATTGCTGTGCATCTCACGGAAGATGCTAAGTGCCTTCCACTCTCTGCCAAAATGATTTCAGCAGCTTTCTTACATTCAAGCAAAGAATGGGTTTTACAGCTATAGTTTCCAGCTCACTAGAGATTCACTGCAGCTTCAGAGGATTAGATCCTCTCGTATTAAGGAGCTGATGCATTCATTATTAAGCTGTCTCCTCCTCTATGTAAAAATAATAGTAATGATAATTAAAATAAGACTTTGTATATGTTTTGCTTGGGATTTAATGCTTGTACAGTCGGCATCAGTAAAGTTTTTTAAAAAGCCAAAGGATATTTGTATATGGAAAGAAGCTTTTATTATTAATGCCTTTAATTTATTTTATTTCTGTTGCCTTCCTGTGTGTTAATTAATTTTGACTTTTTTTGTATTCTTAAATACACATTACCTTAATTCTACAATTATATATGCCTTCAGAACCAAATGTGCATGTTGTAAACACACTGGGAAGGATCCTTTTCACTACTGATGTATAAGCTTGTCTGACTTGTATTTGCTTCTCTTCTTCAGTAACAAGAATTTTTCATGGAAAAGTACTATGTACAAATATATGTTTAAATAATTTTTAACATGAAACTCCAATTTCTCTGTTTATTTCTAATCGTTACCAAACCAGAAAAAGGGGGGGAAATGCAAAGTACATCTTGAAACATGAATATTCCTCCTTGTTTTCAAAAGGATCACAAACAATTAGGGTCTGAGCACTGAAGTGTAAGGAAGTAGTAGCTGAAAGCAAAGCAAAATGCCTCTAAGTTCAATCTGCTATAGTTAAGATGGGCCACAAAAGTAGATGTGGAGTAAACACTATCGTGCAACTTGTAATTGAGTAAGCCAAATTTAGCTCACCCTAATAATAATTCTTGTGGTGCTGGAGAGTCTTGAGAGACCCCTGGACTGCATGGAGATCAAACCTCTCCATTTTGAAGGAAATCAACCCTGAGTGCTCACTGGAAGGACAGATCCTGAAGCTGAGGCTCCAATACTTTGGCCACATCATGAGAAGAGAAGAGTCCCTGGAAAAGACCCTGATGTTGGGAAAGTGTGAAGGCAAGAGGAGAAGGGGACAACAGAGGACGAGATGGTCGTACAGTGTCACCGAAGCTACCAACATGACTTTGACCCAACTCCGGGAGGCAGTGGAAGACAGGAGGGTCTGGTGTGCTGTGGTCCATGGGGTCACGAAGAGTCGGACACGACTAAACGACTCAACAATAACAACAATAATTCTGTGCTTTCATGTCAATTCTGACTTATGGAGACCCTTTTCAGGATTTTCTAGGTAGAAAGTTGTCAGGAGTGGTTTCCCATTCCCTCCTACTGGGGGTGCCTGGGGGCTGTGCAGCTTGCCCAGGGCCACATAGGCTGGCTCTACTCACAGGAGTCACAGTGGACTCCCAACCTCTGGCTCCACAGCCTAACTCACTCAGCTCTCCAGCCAGCTTTCGCTCACTTCACCATTTTCTTAATACTCCTCTCACCCATTGACATATCTCACACCCACATAAGCATTTTTTTTGCAGTTCTGGAAAGGTAACAAAGTTTTCTGAGTCTTTTAAAGGACCACTGATATGGCTAGATTTTACATGCACTGTTGCATCAAAGGTTGGGTGGATCTGGAATAGACAGATGTTTATACTGGCTTTAATTACATTAGGAATGTGCTGTGCTAAAGATTGACTACCTGTGGATGCCCTAAAGCTGGCAAATTTCCCTCGGCTTATAAACACTACACTAACCATATTGTGAAGAACATCTGAGAATACCAGAGGCAGTTTCACTGTCTCATTGCCTCCACCTTTCTGGAGTTTCCAGCATGATGTGAGCAATTAAACTCCCATTAAATCCTATTCCTTCCTTCCCTTGTCAAATAAAGACAGATTACAAAATTATATGCTGCAGCTTCTGCTCAGGTTGCAACAACCACTCTCACCTGATCCTTGCTGTTTAACATCTGTTGGGGGCCCAGAATATAGCACAGAAAGCACCAGCCTACACAATATAACCTGCAGCTATGCTCCCCGTAGAATAATTGAATTGGAAGGGGCAAATAAGGCCATCAGGTCCAACCCCCTACTTCAAGGCAGGAATCCAAATCAAAGCAGATTTGGCAGAGGGTTGCATGATTTTGTCTTGGATGCCTCCAGCATTGGATCACTCACTACTTTGGTTCCATTGTTGCTCTGCTGTAACAGTGAAGACGTTTTTCCTGATCTTCATGCCGTAGAATAATTGAATTGGAAGGGGCAAATAAGGCCATCAGGTCCAACCCCCTACTTCAAGGCAGGAATCCAAATCAAAGCAGATTTGGCAGAGGGTTGCATGATTTTGTCTTGGATGCCTCCAGCATTGGATCACTCACTACTTTGGTTCCATTGTTGCTCTGCTGTAACAGTGAAGACGTTTTTCCTGATCTTCATGGTAAATCTGCTTGAATGCCTCCAGCATTGGATCACTCACTACCTTGGTTCCATTGTTGCTCTGCTCTAACAGTGAAGACGTTTTTCCTGATCTTCTTCGTAAATCTGGCTTCCTGTAGCTTGGGCTCATTATTACATGTCCTGCACTCTGGGGTGATCCTGCCCCCCTCCTCTGTATGACTCCCTTTCAAGCATTTGAAAAGTGGTATCCTATCTCCCCTCAGTTATCTTTTCTCAAGGCTAAACAACACCAGTTCTTTCAGCCTTTCCTCATAGGGCTTGTTCTGTAAATGGTGACAAGGGAGGTCTGAAAATATTTGCCAGGTCTGGGTAAAGGGGTTGCTGACAGTTGTGCAAGGAAAAAGGTTCAGAATTCTTTTGAGCTGAGCCAAAGATAGCCAGCTGACATCGTTGTGGAACTTGTATGCTGCCAGGGGGTTCTGGAAGTTGGAGTCCAAAATCAATAATCCACATACCTCCAATAGATATACTATGGTTGCCCCCCCCCCCCAGTGAGGGGGAAGTACTCATGTTGCTTGAGCAAGCATTGCTGTATCTCCCTTCCATTTGCCAACACCAAGTGGAAGCTCAAAAGGGTACTGGAATTAAATACGATACCTGAATTAAGTCGGTTGAATAGTTTCCCCCTCCCACAGAGATGTCAAGCCAACAATGAGTTTTGTGCCATAAAAAAAAAACTTGTATGTTTTTTTTTGGGGGGGGGCTAGGTTTTCACAAACTGCAACACACTTCTTCAGATGAATGGGGATGAGATGGTTTACTAGGTTTGATTATTATTATTTTTAAGTTTCATGCAAAAATTCACTCTGATCAGTGTGGGGACTATCATGGGTTTTTCATCTTAAGACCCTTTGGAAATGACATTATTTTACATTTGGTTAGAAAGGTGATGTCTATTTGAAACGAGATGAGTTTTTTTTTTTTTTTTTTTTTTTTTTTTTGTGAGGCTGATGGGTTTCTGAGTCATACTGCTAAATCAGGTGCTAGGGGTTCTCCAATCCATGACATAACTTGAATATGTGGTCTTGCCAATTGAAAACAGTCGAATGTTCCATTTTGGTGTAGTAGGATAGTACACTGCTGACAATTTCATCACATGGATGAGAGATGAGTGTAAGAAAGCAGAAGAACCAAGACACCAGTGGGCAAGCTCAGAAATAATAGGATTTCAAAGTGGATTTACGTAGCTCTTGTCCAGTAATACCTGGGCACATTCCGATGGAAATTATGACTAGTTCTTGACTTGCCAAAAGGAACTAGGTTTATGAGAAAGGATTCTTTGCACTCCATTATACCACGAAAGGAAAAGATGAGATGGTGAAGAAGAACATACCTTTTTCATAAAACAGCTTTTGAAAAATCCCCAGATGGTGCAAGAAGGGGCAAAGAAGGGTGTTTTATATAAGACTTCCAGAGATCAAAGGGTTTTTTTTTCTCTTTCTGTTTTTTTCATTCTTCAATGCACTTTGCAGGTTTTCTCCAGAACATGAGGTAAGTGCCAAAGAACACTTCAAAGCCCCCCCGAAAAAAACATGTTGGAAACAGGCAATTCAGGCGAATGAAAGAAATGGTATTTATGTATTCATATTTGTGTATCCTTTAGGAAAAGAACTATTGCTTGCTCTCTAATTTAATTAATGGGTGCCATTCATCTGTGTAGAAGATCAAAACTTTAGCTTAAAATTACAACTCTATGACTATGTAAATAAATGGGGTGTGATCTAAAATTTCACTTAAATCAGCAGGAATGTACCCCTCTTGGCCTGGAGACAAATTTTAATTTGTAAACTATCTTGGTGGCCACATGTAGTCTAACACTGGGTGGGGTTAACAGTAGATCTGGAGCCAAAGCAAAACAATTGAGAATAACTTTTATTCTTACCATTTCATAGACTCTTAGAATAATTGAGTTGGAAGGGGCCTAATAAGGCCATCAAGTCCAGTCCCTGTTCAATGCAGGAATCCAAATCAAAGCAGTTCTGATAGATGGTAGTCCAATTTTCTCTTTAATGCCTCCAGTGTCGGAGCATTCATCACCGCCCAAGGTAAGGGGTTCCATTTGAACCATTTCATGCACGGCTTAGCTCAATTCTGTGCATGTCTAATCAGGAGATCCACATACTCTAGTGCAACAGCTTTCAGGGCTGCAAAGCATGTGACCATTTCATGCTTTAGCTTCCCATGCAATTCCAACAATTTCCCAAACTGAAAAGAAGAACTCATTGCCACACATCAGCTTCCTGGCTGCTACAAAGCTCAGCTGAGTTTCATGCAATAGCTTCCCAGTTTTTATAAATACCCACTGATGTCCAGTAACTGATTAGAGGTAACAGATGAAAAAACTGGTGGATAAATCGAGAAGCATCCAGTGGTTGGGCCAGGGTTTTCCCAGGTGTAACTTAACTCTAGAGTATTGTTAAGTCAAGTTACAACTGTCGGAGTTTTATTTACAACCTTGCATGCTGCTTAAATGACTGGGAGGGGCTTTTCTGGGCTTAGGTGATTATGCAGCATTAGCGAATTGCTCCTTCCAGCTTTTGAAATTTAAAGAGAGCCCCAGCTCTTTGCTGAGTGCTCCATCCCTCTGTTGGTGACAGCTGTTTGCTGTTGATCTGTTCAGTTGGTCGCTAGTATGTGTGCAGTAAAGAAAGCAGTATACACAAGCCCGTATACTTCAAGCAACTGGAAGTAAAGAATCCTTTTTTGTTCTTTCTCCTACACATCTCAGAGTGAGTTATTAAGACTTTTAATGCCAGTTAATGAGAAAGGAGCAGACACAGGGAACTTCGTAGCTATTCTCCTTTGTGGATTTCTGTACTTCTAGCAAAAAGGGAATGTTACCAAAAATTCATTACTCTGCAACAAGAACTATCCCAGCAGATTACATTGGAAGATCACCTAGGCCAGTATATGTGGCCAGAGAAATGTTGTTGCAAAATTCTTGAGGAGGGCACCGTAATAATGCAATGCTATATTAAGTTCAGCAAAGTGCTCTCTTGCGCTTAACTAGCTGCAGCAGTGAGCAGCAGTATGCAACAGGTGGCCTGGGAGCTGCTCTCAGTATTTAAGCTCCCCAGAGTGGACAGGACAGGTTTGTCAGATAGCAAGGCGAAGAGGATTCTGTCA